GGATGTCTTAGGACCAGGCTTGTGAGGATACCTCTGGTGAAATTCTCTTGTCAATCTAGGAGCATGAACGTTTTCCTCAGGCTCCCAAGAATTTTCCTCTTGCCCATATCCTTCCCATTGGACAAGATACTGCAATTTTCCTCTAAACATCCTAGAATCAAGAATCTTCTCTACCACATATTCTTCTTCACCCTGCACCTCAACAGGTGGAGGAGGAGGAAGAATTCTTCCAGAGAAAGGATTTTCATGAAATGGTTTGAAAAGTGATGCATGAAACACAGGGTGAATCTTCATACTGTCAGGCAGTTTTAAGCGAAAGGTGACTTGGTTGATCTGAGCAGAAATCTGGAAAGGTCCCACAAACATTTGGCCCAACTTTGCAGCTGGAACATGAACCTTCAGATTTTTGGTAGATAGCCAAACCTTGTAGCCCACATGAAAGGTAGGAAGTGATCTGCGATGACTGTCGGCAGCCCTTTTATAATTTTCCTGAGCCTTCCCCAAGGTCTCGATCAACTTTGCCTGAATCTCCTGCAATGTAGTTAATCTGTTAGCAACAGCAGGAATTTGAGTTGTGATAGGGAGATCCGGGATAAAAACTGGATGATACCCCATATTGAGGAAAAAGGGGCTTTGGGAAGTGGAGCTATGTTTAGCATTGTTATAGGCAAACTCTGCCGTAGGTAGATAGTCCACCCAGTCATCCTGAAGATAACTGACGAAGCACCGAAGATACTGTTCCAAAGTTTGATTGGTCCTCTCAGTCTGACCATTAGATTGTGGATGGAAAGCAGAGGACAGGTTAACAGTTACCCCTAAAGCTGAACAAAAGCTTTTCCAAAATTTTGAAGTAAATTGTACTCCTCTATCAGATACCACATCATTAGGGATTCCATGTAATTTAAAAACATCTCGAACCATCAACTCCGCAGTTTGTTCAGCAGACGGTACCCCCTTAACCGGTATGAAATGAGCCATTTTAGTAAGGCGGTCGACAACTACCAAGATCGTAGTCATTTCTCTTGAAGGAGGTAATTAGACTATAAAGTCCATAGAAATTGACCCCCAAGGCCTTGATGGAACAGGAAGTGGTTGGAGCAACCCCAAAGGAGAAGCTCGGGGTGTCTTATGACGTGCGCATGTCAAACAAGCGGCCACGTAGCTTTTGATATCTTTTTATAACAAGGCCACCAGAAGGAACATGCCAGAAGATCCTCTGTTTTTGACATCCCAAAGTGTCCCGCCAGTTTGGAGTCATGCACTAATTTGAGGACTTCCACCCGAGCCGACTCAAGTACATAGAGACGATGCTCTAGAGTCCAAAACCCGTTCTTGTACTCAAGGTTAATGTCTCTAGGAGGATCACTGAGAAGTGGGTCGTTCTCATACCCCTCTTTGAGAAGACTCAAGAATGTCTTTGCACTTGTGGCCCCTAGAAAGTTCTTTTGAGTTAGGATCGGACATTCGGAATTACCCTCCTGGGGAGGCTCAGACAGCATCCTTGATAAGGCATCGGCCTTACCATTCCTCGATCCAGGTCGATATGAAATGATAAAATTGAATCTAGAAAAGAATAGCGACCAACGTGCTTGTCTAGAAGACACTCTCTTGGCCGAGCAAACAAATTCCAGATTCTTATGGTCAGTGAGAACAGTTACAGGGTGATTAGCCCCTTCTAGCAGATGCCTCCATTCCGAAAAGGCTTCCTTAATTGCCAGTAGCTCTTTATTCCCAATGTCGTAATTTCTTTCGGCTGGAGACATCAAACGGGAAAAATAGGCACAAGGATGAAGCTGCATCTTTTCATCACTTTGCTGAGACAGGATAGCTCCCACGGCAGAATTGGAAGCATCTACTTCCACTATAAAGGGTAGTTCAGAATTGGGATGTACCAAGATTGGTGCGGAAGTGAAAAGAGTTTTCAGCTTTTCAAACGCAGCTTGTGCCTCAGAGGTCCACACAAAGGGTACCCCTTTCTTTGTAAGTTGTGTGATTGGAGCTATCACTCTAGAGAAGTTTCTTATAAATTTTCTGTAGACGTTGGCAAACCCGACAAAACGTTGAATTTCCTTAACATTTCTGGGTGCTGACCAATCTACCACTGCTTTGACCTTCTCAGGGTCCATGCTCACTCCCTCCGGAGAAATGATATAGCCTAAGAACTGGATCTGGGTTTGTTCAAACTCACATTTCTCCAATTTAATGTAAAGTCTATTTTTCCTTAATCTTTCGAAAACTGTGCAAACATGTTTGCGGTGCTCTTCCCAATTATCAGAAAAGATAAGGATATCATCCAGATAGGCAATTACAAATTGGTCCAACAGATCACGAAAGACATCGTTGATAAAATGTTGAAATGTTGCAGGGGTGTTGCAGAGTCCAAACGGCATCACCAAGGATTCAAAATGCCCATACCTGGTTATGAAGGCAGTCTTCCATTTGTCTCCTTGACAAATGCGGACAAGGTTATATGCCCCTCGAAGATCAAGCTTGGTAAAGATCTTAGCAGAACGAAGTCTTTCCAACATTTCCGAGATTAAGGGTAATGGATAGCGGTTTTTAATAGTGATTTTATTCATGTCTCGGTAGTCAATGCATGGGCGTAAGGTGGAGTCTCTTTTTAACGAAGAACAGGGCTGCCCCCGCAGGAGAATTTGAGTGTCTAATAAAGCCTTTTCCCAAATTATCATCGATCCACTCCCTGAGTACTTTTAATTCAGGTTCTGACAGATTGAACAGGCGGCCAAAAGGTATTTCTGCCCCCGGGAGCAGCTCAATGGGGCAATCATATGTGCGAAGAGGGGGAAATTTATCTGCATTTTTCTTGTCACAGACATCCCGGAACTCATGGTAATGTGGGGGCAAATTGTCATATGACTGGATAGCCACTTTATCACGTAGCGCCTCCTTGGTTGGTGACGGACTTGGTTGGCAAGGTTTTTTGCAATATTTTTTACAGTGGGAGGACGTAAAATCTATAGTTTGTGCTCCCCAGTTAATGGCAGGATTGTGAGTGGAGAACCAAGGAATGCCCAGGATGATGGGAAACTTGGGTGATGTAATCAGCTGAAAGCTGATGGTCTCACAATGGTCAGCCTCAAACAACAGAACCAGGGGAACCGTTTTATGGGTAACAGGTCCTGAAGATAAGGGTGACCCATCAACTGTCTCCATATCAATAGGGGTAAATGTATCTCTTGCTTGAATATTATTGCTGTTGGCAAACTCTATATCCATAAAGTTCCCCCCCGCCCCGGAGTCCAGCATAGCTGATCAGGAGATTTCACGGCCCTCAGATACAAGTTTAATAGGGATAACAAAGTGAGAAAGTAATGAGTTCACCTTATTCTCTTCAGGAATCAGTGGGGAGACAGACTGGCTTATGGAGTTTATGTGTTCAGGCTCAATCACATCAGTCACAGCAATAGTTCTTTTAACCTTGTTAGGACAATTAATTGCATAATGACCAGAATCCCCACAATAAAGACATACGTTTTCTGAACGTCTTTTCTCTTTCTCCTGGATGGAAATGGATCTCTTGATCGCATCAACCTGCATAGGCTTAGGAGTGTTAGAACCCAGAGAGACTCTTGAATCCTGCTGAACAAATGGACTAGCAGAGAGATGCATGCCCCTATTACCTCCAAACATTCCCAGCCTCTCCTTCCTCCTTTCTGTAAACCTTTGATCGATTCAGATACACAATTGGATAAATTCCTCAAGATCATTAGGAATATCTACTCTGGCAAGCTCATCCTTTACCTGTTCAGAAAGCCCTTGACGGAACTAGCTCTTTTGTGCTGCAGGGTTCCAAGTGGTATCTGCCATCCAACTTCTGAATTCGGCTGTATATTCAGTGACCGAGCGTCTACCCTGCTGCAGGCTATGCAATTTTGCTTCGGCAGTAGCACAACGGTTGGGATCATCAAAAACCTGATTCATTGCGGTCAAAAAGGTATCAAAATTATCCAGAATGATATGGTTCTGCTCTATATAAGGGGAGGCCCAAGCTAGAGCTTCCCCAGTCAGAAGCCCAATAATAAACATTACCTTTAGAGATGAGCGAATTATTCAAAAATTCGATTCGGCTGATTTGCCGAATTTGCGGGAGAAATTCGATTTGATGCAAATTTATTCGCTGCGAATTTAACTAATTAAAAGGGTTTCTAGGCTTCAGAGAGCCTTTATATTAGTGCAGAACACTGTACCTTTAATTTAAATGCCCTTGGAGTCTGCTGGGGAAGAGAAATAATACTGTCAGTCAGTATGACATGCAGATGAGTGCCGTCGATCTTAGAATCACCGCACACTTCACTCATTTGGGCAGTCACGGGGCACGACAAAGAAGAAGAAGAAGAATGAAAGAAGAAGAAGAATGAAAAGAAGAATGAAAAGAAGAAGAATGAAAAGAATGAAAAGAAGAATGAGAAGAATGAAAAGAAGAAGAAGAATGAAAAGAAGAATGAAAAGAAGAAGAATGAAAAGAAGAATAAGAATGAAAAGAAGAATGAAAAGAAGAAGAAGAATGAAAAGAAGAATGAAAAGAAGAAGAAGCAGAATGAAAAGAAGAAGAAGAATGAAAAGAAGAATGAAAAGAAGAAGAAGAAGAATGAAAAGAAGAATGAAAAGAAGAAGAATGAAAAGAAGAATGAAAAGAAGAATGAGAAGAATGAAAAGAAGAATGAAAAGAAGAAGAAGAATGAAAAGAAGAATGAGAAGAAGAATGAGAAGAATGAAAAGAAGAAGAAAGAAGAAGAATGAAAAGAAAAAGAATGAAAAGAAGAAGAAGAATGAAAAGAAGAATGAAAAGAAGAAGAGAAGAATGAAAAGAAGAAGAAGAAGAATGAAAAGAAGAATGAAAAGAAGAATGAACTATATTACTATATCAGTCTCTAATGGATGCTGGAGAGTTAAAACCCCTAACACCTGCTGTGCCCATTATGAGGGGTTCCCACCATCCCTGTGCTGAAGGTTCTGGGTATGCACACCTGCTGTGCCCATTATGAGGGGTTCCCACCATCCCTGTGCTGAGGTTCCAGGTCTGCACACCTGCTGGCCCATTATGAGAAGTTCCCACCATCCCTGTGCTGAGTTCCTGGGTCTGTACACCTGCTCTGCCCATTAGGAGGAGTTCCCACCATCCCTGTGCTAAATTCCTGGGTCTGTACACCTGCTGTTCCCATTATGAGGGGTTTCTACCATCCCTGTGCTGAGGTCCCAGGTCTGCACACCTGCTGCGCCCATTACTAGGGGTTCCCACCATCCCTGTGCTGAGGTTCTGGGTATGCACACCTGCTGTGCCCATTATGAGGGGTTCCCACCATCCCTGTGCTGAGGTTCCAGGTCTGCACACCTGCTGCGCCCATTATGAGAAGTTCCCACCATCCCTGTGCTGAGTTCCTGGGTCTGTACACCTGCTCTGCCCATTAGGAGGAGTTCCCACCATCCCTGTGCTAAATTCCTGGGTCTGTACACCTGCTGTTCCCATTATGAGGGGTTTCTACCATCCCTGTGCTGAGGTCCCAGGTCTGCACACCTGCTGTGCCCATTACTAGGGGTTCCCACCATCCCTGTGCTGAGGTTCTGGGTATGCACACCTGCTGTGCCCATTATGAGGGGTTCCTACCATCCATGTGCTGAGATTCCGGGTCTGCCCACCTGCTTTACCCATTATTAGGGGTTCCCACTGTCCCTGTGTTGAATTCCTGGGTCTGTATGTACACCTGCTGTGTCCATTGTGAGGGATTCCCACCATTCCTGCACTGAGTACCTGAGTCTGTACACCTGCCAAAAGAAAGTTTCAGGATTTTGAAGGAGCAAAATACAGTAATACTGGAACAAAAATGAGCTCCGCGGTGGAGTTGCCAGAAGAAGAAGAAGAAGAAAAGAAGAAAAAGAAGAAGAAGAAGAAGAAGAAGAATGAAAAGAAGAAGAAGAAGAATGAAAAGAAGAATGAAAAGAAGAAGAAGAATGAAAAGAAGAAGAAGAATGAAAAGAAGAATGAGAAGAATGAAAAGAAGAATGAAACGAAGAAGAAGAATGAAAAGAAGAATGAAAAGAAGAATGAGAAGAATGAAAAGAAGAATGAAAAGAAGAAGAAGAATGAAAAGAAGAAGAAGAATGAAAAGAAGAATGAAAAGAAGAAGAAGAATGAAAAGAAGAAGAAGAAGAATGAAAAGAAGAAAAGAAGAAGAAGAAGAATGAAAAGAATGAATGAAAAGAAGAAGAAGAAGAATGAAAAGAAGAAGAAGAAGAATGAAAAGAAGAAGAAGAATGAAAAGAAGAAGAAGAATGAAAAGAAGAAGAATGAAAAGAAGAATGAGAAGAATGAAAAGAAGAAGAATGAAAAGAAGAATGAAAAGAAGAATGAGAAGAAGAATGAGAAGAATGAAGAAGAAGAAGAAGAAGAATGAAAAGAAGGAGAAGAATGAAAAAAGAAGAATGAAAAGAAGAAGAATGAAAAAGAAGAAGAAGAATGAAAAGAAGAATGAAAAGAAGAAGAGAAGAAGAATGAAAAGAAGAAGAAGAAGAATGAAAAGAAGAAGAATGAAAAGAAGAATGAGAAGAATGAAAAGAAGAATGAAAAGAAGAAGTATTCCAGTACAGCAAAAGTACAGAAGAAGAATGAAAAGAAGAAGAAGATGAAAAGAAGAAGAATGAAAAGAAGAAGAAGAAGAAGAATGAAAAGAAGAAGAAGAAGAATATAAAGAAGAATGAGAAGAACGAAAAGAAGAAGAAGAAGAATGAAAAGAAGAATGAAAAGAAGAATGAGAAGAATGAAAAGAAGAATGAAACGAAGAAGAAGAATGAAAAGAAGAATGAGAAGAAGAATGAGAAGAAGAATGAGAAGAATGAAAAGAAGAATGAAAAGAAGAAGATGAATGAAAAGAAGCAGAAGAATGAAAAGAAGAATGAAAAGAAGAAGAAGAAGAATGAAAAGAAGAAGAAGAAGAATGAAAAGAAGAAGAAGAATGAAAAGAAGAATGAAAAGAAGAAGAAGAAGAATGAAAAGAAGAATGAAAAAAGAAGAAGAAGAAGAATGAAAAGAAGAAGAAGAATGAAAAGAAGAAGAAGAAGAAGAATGAAAAGAAGAATGAAGAAGAATGAAAAGAAGAAGAATGAAAAAGAAGAATGAAAAGAAGAATGAGAAGAAGAATGAAAGAAGAATGAGAAGAATGAAAAGAAGAATGAAAGAATGAAGAAGAAGAAGAATGAAAAAGAAGGAGAAGAATGAAAAGAAGAAGAAGAAGAATGAAAAGAAGAAGAAGAAGAAGAATGAAAAAAGAAGAATGAAAAGAAGAAGAAGAAGAATGAAAAGAAGAAGAAGAATGAAAAGAATGAAAAGAAGAAGAATGAAAAGAAGAAGAAGAAGAATGAAAAAAAGAAGAAGAAGAAGAAGAAAAGAAGAAGAAGAAGAAGAAGAAGAATGAAAAGAACAAGAAGAATGAAAAGAAGAATGAGAAATGAAAAAGAAGAATGAAAAGAAGAAGAAGAAGAATGAAAAGAAGAAGAAGAAGAAGAAGAAGAATGAAAAGAAGAGGAAGATGAGAAGAAGAAGAAGAAGAATGAAAAGAAGAATGAAAAGAAGAAGAAGAAGAATGAAAAGAAGAATGAAAAGAAGAAGAAGAAGAAGAATGAAAAGAAGAAGAAGAATGAAAAGAATGAAAAGAAGAAGAAGAAGAAAATGAAAAGAAGAATGAGAAGAATGAAAAGAAGAATGAGAAGAATGAAAAGAAGAATGAGAAGAATGAAAAGAAGAATGAAAAGAAGAAGAAGAATGAAAAGAAGAAGAAGAATGAAAAGAAGAATGAAAAGAAGAATGAGAAGAATGAAAAGAAGAATGAAAAGAAGAAGTATTCCAGTACAGCAAAAAGTGTATCTGCAGAGAGCTCCGCTATTTCTGACAGTTCTCTGACAGTTCCTTCACATTTACAGCGGTTGAAACATTGTATCTGTTTCCGAATAAAAACATCTGTATCCTAAATGGAAACAAATAGATACAATGTTTCAACCGCTGTAAATGTGAAGGAACTCTCAGAGAACTGTCAGAAATAGCGGAGCTCTCTGCAGGGACACTTTTTGCCGGCTGATCGGGAAAAATCCGATTCGCGCACCCGAAGTTGGCTAATATTCGGATTCGGCACGAATCGAATTTTTCCTGAAATTCGAAACGAATTCCACTTCGCCTGGTTCGATTCGCTCATCTCTAATTACCTTCTTTTTCTCTGAAGGAAACGCAGCAGGGTACATTTGGAAATATACACGACATTGATTAAGGAAACCCCTGTAGTGGCGGCGGTCTCCATTAAACTTAGATGGTTGGGGCATATGTGAACTAGTATCATCTCGGTTCAGCAGTTGTCTCTGTAGAGACTGAATCTCTACCTGTTGCCTTTCTACTATACCTTGCAGTTCAGAAAATTTCTCTTGGTAGGTAACACTAAACTCTTGCAGCTCTGAAATTTGCTGCCTGATAGGAGCCAAGGCATTTGCTATAGCGGCCTCCATGTTTTGGGCCAGATTATTCTGTCACGATATAAGGTCAGGTTCAGAGACCAGTTGCTACAGCAGTTGTAAGGCTTACCTGAAACCAGCAGGATTGGTACACCAGTGACCCACCCTGAGAATGACGCAGGCTCACCTGAGGTGCGGGGTCTAAGCATCCACCGGTCTTCCCCAGAGTTCCTAATGGTGGAGAAGGATTTGGCTGCGTGCGAATGCCATGTCGCAGATCTCAGGATCACCCCACCAGGGAATGAGTAGGCTGGAAACCAAAAGCGGATCAAACAGTTCAGGGATCAAACAGAAGTGGAGTCAGTCACAAGCCAAGGGTCGGTCACCAATGGTAGTAGATAGGATGAGGCAGAATCGTAGTCAGTAGCAAGCCAAAGGTCAGTAACGTAGATGAAGACAGCAGCAGGAACAGTAAGCGGGATATTGGCTGGTAAGGCACAATAATCTGGCAAGGAGGAAGTGCATGGACATGGCTTTTATAAGGAAGTTCATGGGAGGAGCAAGGAGTTCAAGGTTCAAGAGAAATCAAGGCACAAGGCAGGATTATCCAAGAGTTGTCAAAGGAGTTGTCCAGCATTCCAGATAGCTCAGTGAGAAGAGACATTGCCTCCCACCGCAGAAGGACCAGGTTCAATCCCAGGCTCTGACACTGTACTTGACTTCCATTGCCTGAAAAAGGCCATTTCCACTGTACCTGCACTAGGCCTACCAGATTACGATGAGCCCTTCAAACTCTTTGTGGCTGAGAGGCAGGGTCATGCAACAGAAGTCCTGGCACAATGCTACGGAGGTCACCTCCGGCCTCTAGGCTATTACTCCAGCAGGCTGGACCCAGTTGCACGGGGTGGTCCCTCCTGTGTGAGGGCTGTTTTTGCTGCACATCTTCTCCTAGATAAGACAGCAGACTTAGTCCTAGGACACCCCCTCACACCTCTGGCCCCCCATGACATCACTGCAATATTGAATCAAACTCAACCCAAACATCTATCTGCTGCCAGACATCTGCGATTACAAGGCTCCCTCCTCCTGCCTGATCATGTTACCCTGGTCAGATGCACCCAGATAAACCCTGCAACTCTTCTTCCTCTTCCAGAGGGGGGGATAGAAGAAACAGAAGAAGACACCGAAGACATGGCACCAGAGGATATGGCACATGACTGTTTGGAAATTATGCAGGCAGAAACTGCACACCTACCAACAGTCCATGATACGCCCCTATCAAATCCTGCCCTAATACTCTTTGTGGATGGATGCCACTTTGCAGATAATGCTGGCACCTACCACACTGGATATGCTGTGATTACCGACACAATGGTACTGTAAGCTAGACCTCTTCCACCTTTTATGTCTGCACAAGAGGCTGACCTAAGGGCCCTCACCAAAGCCTGTGAGTTAACAAAAGGAAAGACAGCTAACATTTACACGGACTCCAGATATGCACTTGGCATTGCACTTGACTTTGGCCTAATCTGGAAAATGAGGGGCTTCCTCACGGCAGCTGGAAATCCTGTAAAGCATGGAAAGGCGATCAACCACCTTATGGAAGCTCTCTTACTACTAGCTCAAGTGGCCATACTGAAGGTGAAGGCCCACAGTAAATTGACCACTATGGAAGCAAAAGGAAATAATCTGGCAGACATGGCTGCTAAGCAAGCTGCGGTCAGGGAGCAGGAAGAGGATAAAGAGATGTGCAGTGAGGTGGTGCCTGTGTTAATTCCTCAGCCCAAGGACAGCCAACTCCAGGAAGCCCAGGATTACTCTTCAGAAGAAGAAAGGAAGGAGTGGATACGGAAAGGAGCAGTTGAGGGCAAAGGGTTGTGGGTGGTGGGGAAGAAGGTTTTGCTTCCCAGATCCTTATATCCAGCCACAGTGCAGTGGGCACATGGGGTGTCACACCTGTCCAAGATGTTAATGAACTCCTTGATCAACACGTACTACGTAGCACCCGGAATTACGGCTTACACAGACAGATTCTGTAAGTCTTGTGTTGTGTGTGCCAAGTACAACCACGGAAGACCTGAGAAACCTACCAACA